AATGGAGAAAGAAGAGAAAGAATACTGAGGAGAAACCTCAGTATTCCCAAATTAGTGATAGATGAGAGTCCTCTCTTTTGTTTTGATGTCTTTTTTAAAGTTACTTGATGGAATGTAGTGTGGTGCACTAATTCCACACCGAGACCTTCAGCATTTGTCCAGGTTTAACACTGTGCTGTATCTGTAGAGCCGACTGAACTGAACTGCTATATAAAGACATATGGTACAAATATCTTAATTTATCATTTACCCCCTAGAGCTCTGCTTTTCACTCTGAGGGTACACTCAAGCTTTTTTTTTTTATTATAAACACAGACACATCAGAGTAGAACTATTTTTTTTTTACTGTTTTTATACATTGTGTTCACAGCTGTCATGTTTTGTTTCTAAAGAATCCATACATCATAAACATGCAGAATGAAACTCATGCTTGCAGATTTTGAGGTTGTACATGAGATAAAAATGGCCTGAAATGCCAAAAAGGTCATCTACACAGATCTAGTCTGCCTTTTACTTTCATTTTATCTTTAAAAATAAGTGGAAGTTTGAGATTGGTTGCTTTTACCTTATTCTCTACTATTTTGTAGATTTGTTTTATTCAAATGTAAACTGCTTTGAAGACCCTGTGCCATAGCACTTTAGTCTATTAGTGAAGTTGTTCTTACAGTGTTGCTGAAAACTTCATTAATGAGATATTTTCCCACTTTCTGAACCTTGGAAGTTGGTAAGGTTGTGCCACATTTTTCTCAGCTTTCCTAAAAAAATAACTGTTTGTCAAAATAAAGGAAGTTCTTTTCCTCTTTTGAAAGCTTTTAAAGCCAAAAAATTGTACAGCATAACTTATCTGACATTTTAACCTGGACACATGACTTGCTTAAGTGAGTGTTAAGCTGCAGTGTTGGTTGCAGTTGATCCTCATGTCATTTTTCCGGCTGTTGCTCAGGTTTAAGGACGAGCGTCCCAGACATCCTGTCCACTGCGATTACATTCAGGCTGTTGCACAGGCTGTTTCAATCCCTGTCATCGCAAAGTGAGTATCAGTCATCAGCCACTGCTCTGACTTTCTGTTTCGCTAAAACACCAAACCAGTATAAAGGCAGCTGCTGGGACCTTTCTGGACCACTTTTTCTCTGGTTAAAATGTCTGTAAAGGCAATGCAGAATTGACTTTTGTAACCTTTTATTCATTTATTTATTTTAACCAAATGACTATTCTTCTTAACATGTTATTTTTTAAAACTTCTAAAGTTTTATGTCTCAAAGGGAAAAAAGGGGTTTCTTTTTCCTGTTTTGCTAGTTTTGACTCATATTATATTTAGAAAAATAACCTTAGTAAATACGCCCCCTAGACCCCCTAAAAATTATGATTTCTTTTAAGGTCAGAAAGCCATCACTGCATCCTGGCTCAATGTGAAAATGTTGAGCCAATGCAAATTGCCATTCTTATTCAAATCATTAATTAATCAAACACTTTTATTAGGCTCAGTTTCACAAGCCAGACCCAGATATGATCATTGTCAGATCCTTAGAATCTAGAAATCACTCAAAAATAATCCTTCTTACAACATGAGCAGTGTTTCCTCTGGGGACTTTGCCCTGGGGGGAGAAAGGCTCATTTTTTTTGGGTTGCACATTGATCGCTTTTTAAATATCAATAATCTGACAGAAAACTGCAATTGGTGCATCCCTACTGTCTCTTCACAACAGAAATAAGTTTCTTTTGCTGATATTTGAATGAGAGTAAGCTGCTGCCATTAAAACAAAACTTAGCACGTTTAACTCTTTCTTTTGGACCCAACAGCCTTTTTTACTGTGTGCGTCCGGTGGGGTCACACGGAGTGTGAGCTTTTACAAAGTTTTTTTGTGTGTGTGTGGTTTTGGAAACTGCTGGGACAACACCCAGCTTCCCTGGAGTCTGATAGGGACATTTTCCCCGCTCCTCCTGAGCGTCACGCTAAGACCGCGGCATAGTAAAAACACTGATGTCCTGCTTTTCTGTGCGCTCTCTTACATTTCATAAACTAACAGTCAAACATGGTGCTGGTTGTGTGAACGGTTTGCTTCCTCAAGATCATAATGGATTGAATCAGGAATTCTGCTCTCTGTCGGAAACCCATCAGTACAATTATTGCTTCTACCCCTTTTTTTGGTGTGTTTTGTCTTTTTTTTTAATCCAAAGCAGTTTGCAAAGTTGCTTAATTAAATGTACTGTACCACCTGTCCTGCAGTGGAGGTTCTCTAGATTTGGTGAAGACCAACAGTGATATCGAGAAGTTCAGGAAAGCAACAGGAACGTCGTCCGTCATGTTGGCTCGTGCTGCCATGTGGAATCCGTCTGTGTTCTGCAACCAGGGGCCACTTCCTGTGGAAAAAGTAATGGAGGAATACATTAAATATGTAAGTTTGTTACTTGCATCTGAAAAAAGGGAAGAGAGGGGACATCTCTGGAGACGCAACTAGAACATATTTTTGTGTCGTTGTATGTCTTACTATGATTTATTTTCATGGGTATTATTGGTAAAATGAAAAATTGTTGACTTTTATCAAGGTTTTCTATTCATGCAGTTTGAAGACATTTCAGTTTGTCCCATTTAAAGCAGTTGACCACATTGTGCTTTACCCAACCGGGATCTTCTTAGAGAGTGACCAGGCTGATCAGGATGAAGAATTCAAGCGAGACTCATTTTATTTTAGGCTGTAGATTTAAAGTCTTTTTTTAAATCAAAATAAGATTCTATACATTTTTGTCTTAAGCGAACCTTTTATTAAGACATATTCTTAACAGGGATGTAACTTTTTAAAAGTTACTATAATTTCTCTATTCACAGTTATGTATTTAATAGAGCATAATCACATAAATCATAGACAGATGTAGCAAACTCTAAAAAAGATAAACCCTCCACAAAAAAGTGAAGTAAATAAAAAAACCTAAAAGTACAGAAATCCCTAATGTATGCTGCATCTAAAAACATCACAACTTATGGGATGGAGTCTATATTCCAAAAGCATAGGTGTTCCACAAAAGTGGGAAACGCTGCTGCATATCCTATCACCAAAGCACAGTTGGCAGCTAAAGAAAGCTAAGCTGCTCTAGAATGGTCCCATTGCAGGAAAGATCACAGCTGATGGAGATGAGTTTGGGATGAGCCAGTGGGGCGATGCATCCACTCAAAATGACATGGACACATATCATTTTGAGTGGCATCAAGTAACTCACTCAGTCTTTAGCTACTGAGCAGTTTCAGGTTTTGCCACCGGGGCTCATAACTGCTTCAATGTGAACAACAATGTGGAGTGAAAACTGTGGCTTGTTGATATCAATTATTATCGATTTTGACTGATTGAAATGTTTATATTGTGATAAGTTTTTTAACCATATTGTACCACACTTGTTCCTTGAAAAGATGTTAATAAAATATGTACTAAGCTTTTAGGGATTGCTTTCACTTTTCAAGAGTTAAATTTAATGGCAGTAATAATGTCATTAGTGGTGAGTATCAGCATTGGAAAATGTTTTTATAGGTTATCCAGAAAGATAGCTCTGGGTAACCTAAGCCACTCTAAGCAAATCCACCAATTTACCTAAAAATAACATTTTAAGCTCTTATCTTTCAGGCTATAGTCTGTCTGCTTCATTGACAGGAACAGAGAGCTGGAGAGAAACCTGACAACTAGTAGATCTGAAACCAGCAGTAAACTAGCAGTCTAAAAGTGAAGAGCACAAAGACTGCAGCTCTTTAAATGGACACATTTCATTTTGTGAAATAAATCACTTTTGAATCCAGGACCATTTCACTGTGGCCTGTGGATTAACCTCGCGTTTTTTAACATCAGAAATTACAAAATGAACTTCTTTTAGTAAATCAACACTGACTTCACAGTGCTATTACTAACTGAGTTCAGCTTGTCAATGTGGTTTTATTACAGCGATATATTCTACATTTCAATCAATGCTGACAATATGCCTCAGGTTTAAGCTTTTGGGTTTCCTGGTTCCAGGCAATCCGTTATGACAACCATGCTTTCAACACGAAGTACTGCCTGTGCCAGATGCTGAGAGACAAGGTGGAGTCTCCACTGGGGAAGCAGGTGCAGGCTGCACAGACCAATGCTGAGATAAGGTGCAAGAGTTGTTTTTTTTTTTCTTCTAAAAACACTTTCGTGTATAAACCAGGAACAGAATGGAATATTATCACTAAGGTGTCTTAGTGTTGTGTAAAGTAAAAATATGTGATTCGACTGTACTGCAGTGAGGCATATGGACTGCAAACATTTTACCAGGAGATCCAGCAGGACCTTAAGGCTAAGATGGCCGCCCTTCAGAGCAGTAATCAGCCTAACAAACCCGTAATCGATGGAGATGTGACCACCATGGCTGTCAAGTTTGAACGGTAAATCTGTCAAATATCACATTTTAACACGACAGCAAAACCCTCTTTTTAGACATGACAGGTGTACCTTTTTGACGTGCGTGTCCTGTACAAACATGGGTTTAAAAGTTTATCATGAGATTTTATAGTTTTTATTGGAATAATGATGAAAGTCAGGACACAAAGTAGTTAAAATCAATTTTTGTTAAAGGGTGTTTTCTACATTCTAATCACATTACCTGCCTTTATTTAACGTTTTGGTTTAGAGACTAAAACTGTTAATTGTCAAATTGTAAACTGATCAGTACATAAAAAGAGAAAAATGTGTGCATAATATTGTAAATGGCGGCCAAAAATAATTTTTGATAAACATTATTGTGTGACTTGTCTGTGGTTGCAGCAGAGACTATCCACCCCAGATCACACCCAAGATGTTTCTGCTGGAGTGGAGCCGCAAAGAGAAGTTCCAACAGCCGCAGTATGAAACGGTATGTAAAAGCATCAGGTTCAGTCTGTGGTCAGCCGTTCAGCTTCTGGAAACAAACTCAGGGTTTTACTCTGAACAACTAAGGAACATTTTTATGGCTGAGAAAATGACTCCTGTAATATCTGAAACTATTATTTTGGTGTGATTGGATCACTTTAAAAGTGGACTATGTAACTTTTATTTTAAAAAAAATAATTATTTTTTACATATTTGAAACGGTCACTGTGTTGTTACAGTATGTTATGAGACAGATAATCTGTGAAAATATCAATCTCCTCCCTGAGTTACTGTTGTGTCTGAAGAAATGTGGTGCTCACAAGTTGTCGCGACCAGAAACAACCAATCAGAGCCAGGAGGTGGGACTTGACTTAATGTCAGTCAGTCTCATGTACTTGCTGCTAAATGTGTGAAACAACTTACTGTTTCAGGACAACCGTTTTTCTGCCGTCATCAGTGGCCATTCTAACTAGCCTGAGCATTCATGACGGGCTGTTCTAGCTGCAGAGAGCAAGAGGAAAGGGGGAGGAGGACATAAGCAGCGCCACGTGGAGGGGTGATTGACAGCACTAAGACTCGCCTCCTGGCTCCCGATAAAAAAAAAAAATTATAAAAAAAAAACATCAACTGCTTCCATAAAACTGTACCAGGAAAAACATAGAGGATTCGGCCACAAGGTGGAGCCCTCGCTAACATAGTCTGTAGAAAAACCAGAAACTGGATACATTACCACACCAGTAAAACCTGTCCCTCTCATAACACCAATACTTTTTTTTTAATAATTCTAAATGTCACAGAATATCTATAATTTACTGTCTGACACAAAAATAATATTCTGATTTATAATGCTTTATGGCCCCAGAGAGGTCAGACCAAATCCATTTTTCTTAACTGAATGTAAGTATCTGTCACAAGCTCTTCAGTCTTTGCACGCTTTGTGTTCTGTGTTCTCCCCATGTGGGTCTTTTGAACTAGGGTTACCATATTTTGATTTCCAAAAGGAGGAAACTTGGTCCTCCTTTAGGACGACTTCTTCTAGCCCACCTATAAGATGGCTCAGTGATGCTCTGCCAGAGGCAGAGCGATGCTGGAAAGGGAAATCATACAGACTGGTGAATTCTTTTTCTAAAGAAAATCTGGGAACTCCATCTTCCAATCAAGCACAGAAAAGTGAGCTAAGAGACTGTTTTTAATGGAATTGCACTTGGACAGGTCAAATTCAGGACAGATGAGTAAAGAAAAAAAAATTCTGCTTATCATGATTGATTTGTAGGAGCAGTCAAAAGGATAAAACATGGCTCCTCTCGCAGTTTCATCCTCCTGATGAGCAGTGATCATCTGGCTGCAGACTGACCAGCTTATGCAGGCCTCAGAAGAAAAAAACATCCAACATGCAATATTGCATGTAACAAATATGTTTCTAAAGGTTTTGTCAGTGCATGGTCCTTCCTCTTTTTAATGTGTTATACAGATAGTGAGGCAGTGTGAAGTGCCAGGCAATCAAACATGTTTTCCAAGCACGCTGCAAACAAAGCAGTATTTTTTTTCTTCCTTTTCAGGCGCAGCGCTCTCAGGATCGAGCATTTCAGTCAACTGTGACTGTTGCCAACAAAAAATACAGATCATCCCTTTGGTTAGTACACACATGCATGTTGTTTTTGTCCTCTGTGTGTGTGTGTGTGTGTGTGTGTGCGTGCGTGCGTGCGTGCGTGCGTGCGTGCGTGTAGCTTCACTCAGGCAGGTGTTCATGATCATGGCAGTAACCTGACGTACATCAGCCAGGTAAATGAAACATGTTCTGGTAAAAGCATAATCTGCTTCCTGAGTGGCAACTTTAGTTTAAGTAGAAGTACTGAAAACAAAAGGTAAAATTAAAAAAAAAAAACTGAACAAGCTTGCTTTCACTTTTCACCCCAAAACATCTACCATATTCTTTGTTTTCTTGATCTCCAACAAGTTTGTTTTGTGTCTTTGAATGTCACTTTGATAAAAATCTATTGTCTGTGTTTGTGTTGTATGCTGCAAACATTTAGATTTTACAGTTAAAAATTAATATGAAACATATTAGTTTTTATTTACAGGCTTTATCTGGTTCTGAAGATATGACCATGCTTCTGTCTGACATTCTCCATGGTGCCAGCTACAAACTGGATTCCAAAAAAGTTGGGACACTAAACAAATTGTGAATAAAAACTGAATGCAATGATGTGGAGATGGTAAATGTCAATCCAAAAGAGCATCATAATAGAGCATAGATGACAGATCAAAAGTTTAATTTGAGTAAATGTAACACTTTAAAGGAAAAATATGTTGATTCAAAATTTCACAGTGTCTACAAATCCCAAAAAAGTTGGGACAAGTAGCAATAAGTGGCTGGAAAAAGGAAATTGAGCATATAATGAACAGCTGGAAAACCAATTAACACTAATTAGGTCAATTGACCTAATTATGGGTTTTATACCCAATCTTATACCCAATCTTGTTTATACAACAAGATTGGGTATAAAAAGAGCTTCTCAGAGTGTCAGTGTCTCTCTGAAGCCAAGATGGTAAGAGGATCACCAATTCCACCATTGTTGCGCAGAAAGATAGTGCAACAATACCAGAATGGTGTTACCCAGCGTAAAATAACAAAGACTCTTAAGTTATCATCATCAACCGTGCATAACATCATCAAAAGATTCAGAGAATCTGGAACAATCGCTGTGTGTAAGGGTCAAGGCCATAAAACTCTACTGGAAGTTCATGATCTCCAGGCCCTTAAACGTCACTGCACCTCAAACAGGAATGCCACTGTCAAGGAAGTAACAGAATGGGCTCAGGAAAACTTCCAGAAAGCATTGTCAGTGAACACAATTCACCGTGCCATCCGCCGTTGCCAGCTGGAACTCTACAGTGCAAAGAGGAAGCCATTTCTCAGCAAGCTCCACAGGCTCAGCCTGGCACTGGGCCAGCGGTCATTTAAATTGGAGTGAGGCAAAATGGAAGACTGTTCCATGGTCAGATGAATCACAATTTGAAGTTCTTTATGGCAGTGTTTATGGCAGTGTTTTTCAACCACTGTGTACCGTGAGTGATCGTCAGGTGTGCCGTGGAAATTATCCAATTTCACCTACCGTATTTTCCAGGCTATAATCTGCTACTTTTTTCCTACACTTTGAGCCATGCGACTTATAGCCAAGGGCGTAGGAACGAGTCTGTCATTGGGGGGGACGCATATCGGAAACCTGACAGAT